ATTTCTGATCATATTATGAGATATTTATAATCAATTAAACGAATTAAATGAAAATATTTCAGTGAATAATTTGATATGAAATGAGATCAGCTTTCTAAGCCAATGTTATTGCAGTGAAAGAAAGTTACGATTATTTAGTCTTCAAAAATTTCCTTACAAATAAGTGTTAATTTTAATTAAAATATTTAACAGTTGGCCATCGTAGTGATCAAATGGAATGCATAGATGAGAAATAAACAGCACTGAAGTAATTACATAGGCAGTTGAATTTGCTGAAATGACTTTAATTCATTGCCAAGAATTTGAATGCTAATCATTCATTTATTTATTGCAGTTCTCAAGGTTTGCATAATAGTAAGAATAATTGCAAGCTATTATTTTTTCAAATTCAAGCAAGCTTTAGTGAGTATTCTTTAAATGTATTATCTAATTAATTCAAATGCTTTACTGATAATATTAGAATTACAACAAATTTGTAATAATTTCATATTTGTTGCAGTCTATTTGAACAGCTTGCAATATGTACTAGTCGTTATTCTCTCTCAACAAATTAATTAGAAACGACCTGTAATTGTTATTTAATTCAAATGGCTGGAAATAAAAAGCTTTATTTACAGCTTTAATTATGTTTCATTACAAAGAGAAAAAGTAAAGCTGTTTTGAGGCTGTGAAATAAGTAAGTAAATAAATAAATAAATAAATAAATGTCAAAGTTTGTCAGTGATACTTTTTCTTCGCGTTCACTCACTTATTCGCTTGCATATCAATCATTTCTATAAGACAACAATGAATGATAATAATTTATTACTTTTATAATTCTTTTTTTGCTAAATTTTGTAAAACATAATTTTTTCTAAAAATAAAAAAGGAATAAATACAAAAGTATATATTAAAGTAATGCAATATTATTTGATGTTTTTACTTTATTTTATTTCATTACATTTTGAGAGAAGTGAACGTTTACCTTTTCGTTTAACTTCTCACTCTCTCTCCTTATCTCGCTTTCTTTCTTTCCCTCTCCCTACATCTCTCTTTCTCTCTCTCTCTCTAAGCATTCATTTATTCATGACAAAGCTGAAGAAAGATTGGCCTTACACACAATCAAAGGCATTACTCGCACGCTTGTCTAAGCCTAAATATCCATCCTTGCACGAGCCTTACGTGCACACATTCACACGCTTCTATGCAAGTCTTATTTGTAATTCTCCTCATTTATTCCTTTTGTATACATACATACATACATGCGACATTTATGCGCTAAATTACGTGCTGTACTTCATTTACGTTACTTTCTCTACGTTTATTTATGGCCAACATCATACTTTCGAACCTTATGTGGATTAAACTTATTTTAGATATACTTAGTTGCTTCTTTTTGCACTTCTTTAAATACTCATTTTTGTGCAAAGTGTTACGTTTCAATTGATATAAACATTGATAATTAATCAAATAATTAATTTTATCTTATGGAAATTATACTTATCTGATCTAATTTAACCCTAAAAATATTTTTGCTACACCCTTATTTTTCTTTTTTCTCTTTATTATTTAAATATTCATGGAAGTAAAAGGTTAATGTTAAGTATTAATAGTAACTGATCAATTTAACAACTGAAAAACATATGAATAAATTTATTGTCTGATTTACCTCTCTGTCAAGCATTACTCTTCAATTCATAAGTTACCATTTCTTGTATTCTTTAGCATTTTAGCGTTTTGTTTGATGCTTGATTGATCTGTTGATGTATTTATATGCCGTCTTAAAACAGACAGATCCGCTAATTTTCGTGGTTTCTGATTGAATTTCTATTGGATTACAAGGATTACTCTTGAATTTCACTTATGTAATCACATTCTTGGCCAAATGATTCATACATTAGGTCGTTAACTGAAGTTTTTTACAATATTTCACTCTTGGAAATATGTACTTATTATTTGCAGTAAATTGGCTCTAATACATCAGCAGAAATAGAACGAATGAATATTAAGCTACGAGATTAAAACTGGATGTAAACCATGAAGTATTTGCTTGATAAAGTAAAACAAATTTTATTACTACTGACTAGTTTATTGATTGGTTGATTGGTGAAAATTTATCGCTTTAGTTAATATCGATTAATTTATTGATTGGGAAAAGCGTTATTTCAATACAAAATCAAGATTATCAAGATTACATTTTTTGAATCGAATTTTTTTCACAAACATTAATGACAAAACCTTAAAAGTTTAATTTGATAATCATAATTTGAATTTGAAATTTTGACTTGAAATTCGAAATTTTCATTCTTTGTTACTCAGCTAATTTCACTTATCGCATTATTTCATATCGTTATTAAAGTGCGTTGCTTTTTCCAAAAGTATTTTCGCTATAATCAAAACTTATTTTTTTGATTGTATCTGAAAAGAAAGTTTGTTTTAAGATTGGAATTTTAAATGCAAAAAAATTTACTACTAATAATAATAACTTTATTTTACGCAAATTCAAATACTTTGATAGCACTGTTTAATGATATCAATTTACATCTTTAGTTAAATCAATTTGAAAACTTCAATTTATTTTTACAGAAAAATTGCTTTCCTGCAAGATAAACTTACTATCAGAATAAATTTTGAGAACTTTATTCGAATATTTTTAAAAAGAAGCGATTCAATTTTTTTCAACTATATGGGCTGGAAATTATTTTATAGACTCACAAGTATTTTATACTCTGCTATTTTCATGTAAATCTAATCATAAAAATATACTTTGGCGAAGATTTTAGCAAAATTAACCTAAACATGATTGAAACTTATTCTGCGTGTGATATTTTGCTGATAACGTAGATATTTAAATTGATAACAGTTTTTGATTTCATTAGTTTTTATTGTTAATTTCGCTGATTTTTTAATTTTAAATAATTTAATTAAATATTTTTATTATTAGTAGCGAAAATATTCGTATGCATTTCAATATGAAAAGGAAAAATTCATAGTTAGGAGAATGAATTAGTAATGAATGGAAAAACTCTGTATGAATGCTTAATTTTTTAAAGCAAGAAAGAAATATGGAAGAGTTTATTACTTGTTGTATCCATATATTTTTTGCTTATTTGAGACAGAATGTGCAGACGTATTTTTTTACAGCATCCAGACGTGATCTTACGACGTTGAAATGTGATTTTTTGATCTTACAATTGCTATCATTTGTTTTACTTTGGCATTCATCAAATTAAAAGCTGTGAGATAAATTTTTTCGGCTCATTTTTAAGCCTTTTCTTAATAGTAAGTAAGTCATAGCTAACATATCTGACATGACTTAACTTCTTTATTCTTTACAATTTCAGATCTAACTTGCAGAAAATTACTTCTGCATATTTCATTCTTAAATGTTCAGATTTTCATGTAAGGATTTCACTCTGCTTGTTCCGAAATAGATGCATTTGCATTTGTTAAATATATGCACTTTGCTGTGCTTGATGAGAGCTAATAGAAGCCATAGATCTGTCAATTTAAATTTAAGCTTATGTTAGTATATATTTTAAATATTTTTATTACTGAAATGTTAGACTTTTTGAAGTCTAATCCGCGAATGACCGAGAATTTTCTGTGCTGATCTGAAAAACAAGGACATACTTGAATAATATTGTGCAAAATTCTCTGTACAAAGAGATACGTATCTATCATTTTAGACCAAAGTGACACATTAATAAGAAAATTAGACAAATTACTGATGGACTTATTTAATGCCATCTTACACACTTTAAAGAAGTCATATTCATTTCATATTTTTGTATTTTAATTATTAAAAAATTAAATACTAGTTAGGAAGTCATGTGTTGATAATTGTAAGCTGAACAAATCTATTTGACCTCTGCTACTGATAAATTCATTTTATTAGTTAAAAGTATGGTTATGCATTTGTTTTCGTTTTTCATTGCAAATTTCAGAGCTATAAATCATGTTTTAAATCAGTTTTCTTGCTGTTTACTTTTATTTTAATACTATTACTCTGATTAATGTACACGTGAAGTATTAGACGTATTAATAATGAAGTCTGTTTGCAGCAATTCATTCTCAAACAATGCTTTCTTATATCTCTATTATTAGTATCAGTACAAATTTTGATTTTAATGTTATAAACGAATTAGTGTAGAAGATTAGTTTTATGACAAGACTTCCGGGAATAATTCACATTAATTTATTGATTTTGGAAATAATGAATGTTAATTAAATTTAGAAGAAATTTTGGTAACATCGAAAATGTTACTTGCTGTGGTGACGATAACGCGTTGATGCCACCAGTTCGTATCTTTAGTGGCTTCAGCACTTTCGTCATATTTGTAATTCATCACTTGTCTATTGATTTCTGCATATTTCAACGTCATTAATAATACACATCATACGTTTTCAACATGCCACGTGATCAATACGGACGAACAAATGCAAATGCATATATTTCGGAACAAATTCGAAATGAAATTCAACGTTTCGAAAGTGTTCATCCATGTATTTACGCAGTTTACGATCTCATCGACTTGATTCCTGATCATTTACTTCAAAATCAGTTACGTGATCAAGTAGTTTGCATCGAAGGTTTGTAGTTTTTTTCACATCAAGTTTTTATTTATTAAAGAATAATGCTCTTTTTCAGTGTTCGTAATTCAAACTGAAAATAATTATGAATAGAATAGATTATAGATTCACTCATCATTTACATTATTTGTATAATCATTTCTAATACAAATAATATAAGTAATTAAATATGAATTATATTCAATTCTATTCATAAAATAATTAATTATGACTAGAATTACTCGTATTGCTTGTATTAGGAATGATTACTATTTGCATATGAATTTGGATCATTAATTAGTTGTCATTTAATTACAAATCGTTGTTAACTATTATTAAAATTTTATTTTACATGGAATGATTTTATCTATTTTAAAGAAGTAAAGCTTTAAAAAGAGTAAAAATTATTTTTATTAACTGAATAATAGTCGATAACGTGTGTGAAATACAATTTAAAAGCATATATTATGCATAATTTGAACAATATTAATGATATGCATATTGTGCATGTGTTTTGAAATTTCTTAAATGCTAAATAATGAATCTTAAAAGTAGTAACATATCAATATTAATAGCAGTAATAATGTATATCATATATATTTTAAATCAGAAATTAGAAAACAATAATAATAATAATAATAGTAAAAATAGGTAGTTGAATAATATTATTGAATAGTAATAACAAATGACGTTAATAACAGACCAAACAATCATAATTGTAATATTAAATTAGAAATGCACTCAAAGAATTTTTTTTGGGTCAGAGTTCAATTCAGAAAAATGAAAATATTGACAAGTGTCACAGGACAAAACTAACGATACTCTCAGTCAAACTTTTTAGTATTTGTCTGCAGTTCTGCATGAATAATTAATATTTTTTGTTATAAAGTATTTTATTGCTAAAATATCATTTTAATTTATTTTTTCTTATTCTGAAATTGTTTTTGTCAGAATTTATTACTTCTGTTTAGTGCCTTTTCCCAATTCTTCTACATGGGATGCATTAAGTAAGATTGCTGAACTATTAACTCGTCGTATTGTGGAATTTTTGACTTCAGATTTACAGAACTGTGTGGAGTGTATTGTATGAATTTTAATTTATATTCCAGAAATATTCTGCTTTATCCTTAAATATTCTTTTATGCTTCTGCAATTAACTATTGGAATATGTCATAGAGCTTATAATCTAGATATCCAGGATTTCAGACTTACACGTAACCGTTAATTACAGTAGCAATGTTTATTCAAAAACTTATAGCAGTTCTGTTTTACTATAAAATGGCATTAAGGATTCACTGTTTGTGAAGAAAGCTTGATGTAAACTATATAGCAAAGCTCAGATAAATTCTTTGAAGGCCTAATAAGTTGCTCACAATTTTGTCTGTTTTGCATCTCAAAAGAGCATTATTTGCTCTAATTTCAAACATAAATCTCAGCAAGCCTTTCAGCCTAGTTCTCTAGACGTCTTAGACCTTTCATAACTAGGACTTGGGCTTTTTAAGTAAGAACTTGTGGGGCCTTAAGCCGAGATCATAAGTAGGGAATTATTTTAGAAGACTCATGCACAGTAAGCTCAGTTCGTTCAGTCTTGTCTTACTTTAACGGACTTATCCAATTTCAAACCTTTTGCTGTCAGTGCATTTTTACTTCAAATATTGACATTGATTTTGTTTATTTGCTCTAATTTGCATTTTATTTTTGTTTCTTGTACTGGCGTATTCATACTTCACTTCCTTTTTACGAGCAGTTCTTCATTCCTTCATTCATTTTATAATTCTCTTAATTTACCTATTATGCAAATTAATCTTTGGTGATATCATTAACCTTTAACCTTTTCTATTTAACTTTATCTCTTCAGTTGGAAATTTAAATTGATCTCTTTAAAATTGAACTTCTTATTGTCTTTGCTACATAAATTAATTTTTTTATCGTTTAATTCTGCTTGCTATATGTAAAGCTCTGTATTTACCAGTTTTATTTCAGAAATTGTAACAAGCAGAATTTACGT